TAATGCTATCACGCTACCCCGCCTTCCTCATGGAGCTGCTGTGACATTGTGCATTAAGGGAGTGACACCCCTCAATCGCTGCGCGTGACGGAGGCCGGGCATCAGGCTGGCTCCCAGCCCCCAGAACACGCGTGTTTCCCGGCAGTGATGGCATGCGGGGGTCAGGGGCACTGATGGCTGCGTGCAGAAGTGTCCTCACAGACCCTCTGCAGTGTGGCTGCTCTTTTGCTCGCCTGTCGGGAGCATAATTTTCACTAAATATTAAGGAACTGTTTGTGAAAAGAATGTCGTCATGGTAACTGGGGATGGTGGTGGTGGTGGTGCTGAAATAGCCTGGTGCTGCCCAAATTGCAGCATATTAATCAGGTGTCGGTGTTAATTCATGAGCTTTCCCGTGGCCTTCAGTCTGGAGGACGCAGGGACTGGAGTTTGCCCCAGCTGTCACTGTCAAGGACATGGGTTCTCAGGTGTCCCCTTGTGGGGTGGGTGGGTGGATGGATCGATTGATACTGGAACTAAAATTTTAGACATCCACCTCTCAGAGCTCTTTGTGACAGCTCCTCCGTTTTTTATTTTCCGTTTTACGGTGCAAAAACATTTTTTGCCAGAGAATTGGGGGAAAGAGGCTAGGGAAGTAGCCGGGGGAAGGCATGGCCAAAGATTTCTTTGCCTGAAAGGAGAGGGGATGCCCACAATAGAGAGGAAAAGTAGCCGAGTGTAGAGTCAGATGGCCCGGGCTCACATCCTCTCACTGCGGAATCTCAAGCCAATGACCTGCCCTGAGCAACTTCTGTTTCCCTGCGTCCCAGGGCTGAGACCGGCATACTTCAGAGGGCTGTGAGGAGATTTAGGAGCTGAAGCTCTCACCTCAGTGCTTGTCCAGAGTAAATGATCAGTGAAACCTGCTCACCACCTCTACCCCTTCCTTCATGGCTGCTGCCACCACAATGGTTAAGAAAGGCACCACTGAGGGAAGCCCCACCAAGCTCTCAGGTCCAAAGGTCTAATCAGGCCCTGACCAGCCACTGCAGGATCCAAACCCAGGTCTGGTGTTCTTCCTGAGGTCGGCTAACTTTTTCTATAAAGGACCAGATAGTAAATATTTTAGGCGTGGCAGGTCGTATGCAATCTGTCACATACTAGTATTGTTCTTTATCTTAAAACAAAACAAAACAAAACAAAACAACAACAACCCTTTAAAAATATAAAATCATTCTTAGTTCACAGGCTGCTTAGAGATGGGCATAGTTGGTGGGTCCCTGCCATCTGTAAAGCAAAGTAAAAGGAGATGCATCTATGGGCTTTTGTCCCACTAAAAGTGGGTTGACATGACACATACAAAAGAAAAGCTTGGGTCTAGGAATTTGTTTTCCTAAAGCAATCCCGATAAAAAAAAAGACAAAACCAGATGTATCCACTCCCAACTTCAAACTATACTACAAAGCTACAGTTATCAAAACAGCATGGTACAAGCAGAAAAACAGACATACGGGCCAATGGAACAGAATAGAGAGCCCAGAAATAAACCACACATACTATATTGACAACATTTTACAATGAAGGAGCCAACAATACAATGGAGAAAGGAGAGTCTCTTCAATGAGTGGCGTTGGGAAGACTGGACAGCCATATGCAAAAGAACAGAACTATTTCCTACCATACATAAAATTTAGTTCAGCATGAAGCAATAAAAAAAAAAATCATAGAAGAAAACTCAGGAAGCTTCTAGAAGCTGGAGGTTGAGGAAATGAATTCCCCAGAAAGGAAAGCATCTTGTTGACACCTTGATTTTAGCTCAGTGAGATCCATCTCAGACCTCTGACCTCCAGAACTGTCAGATAATTGATCTGTATGGTTTAAACAACTAAGTCTTTTTTTTTTTTTTTTAATTCTCACCCAAGGATATTTTTTTTCCATTGCTTTTCAGAAAGTGGAAGGAAGAGAGAGAGAAACGTCAATGTGAGAGAGACACATTGATTGGCTGCCTCCCGCACGAGCTCTGACTGGGGCCCTAACCCCCACATCATTCAAGGCCAGGGTCATCTGTAAACTGTTTATGATACCAGCGGCCTCGCCAGCCTTGGGAGGGCCACCTGCAGCAAAGGCATCCGCAGACTGGAGGACGAGGGGCCTTCTCTGCATGTCCACTCTGATGCTGCTAAACCACAGCCCTTGGCTTAGTGGACATGTAACCAGAATCTCTTAAGTCCTGGGCATTTGCTAGGATGACTATGGAAGCAAAGGGGGGGGTGGGTGAGGGGGAGACACACAGAGAAGAAGGAATCGTGCCTGAGTGAAGCCCACATAGAAGAAAGCCAAGTGGAGAGATGGAGAGAAATGACGCCTGCTGTCACTGTTTAGATCCAGCAGGCTCCACGCCAGGCCAACTCAGACTTTTCAGTTACACAAACTGCCTTTTGGTTTTACACTTCCGAAAATGTGACGCAGACATCTATCTTGTAGCCCAAAGTCTGACCAATACAACCAGATACCCACTCACGTCTTGTTGCCCACCGGACTCAGGTGTTACCTTTCCGTGGCCATTAGACCCTGGGCTCTGAGATGGCATGGCACGGGGTTTAGGGCAAGGCACTCAGGGCAAAGATTCAAATGGACAGTGGGAGGAGTGGGATGTCCTCTGTCACTTCTCTCTCTATTTCTCCTGATCATCTCGGATATGCTGAGTCTGCTATGGCTCTGGGAGAAAGCGGCAAAGAGCCCCTCAGGTGCTATGGAATCGAGTGCGGCTGGAAAGAGGTCCCTGCAGATCTGTGCACGAACCAAATACCTACAGTGGGGTCTTCATGTCTCATCCATCAGGGATGTGCGAACGCCAGACTAGTGATACCTGGGATGGTTGTACCTCAATGTCCTGATTGAGCTACTTCTTCCGGTCCCACCTCTTACAGGTTTCCCAGGGTTCTGTCCTCTGGCTCTGAGCTGTCACTCCATGGCCCTCCCCTCTCCTCCACCAGCTGTCCGTCCATCTTCATTCTTTCCTAAGAGGCCTGAGTGATGTGGCACAAGCCCTTAGTAAGCGTGACACCTGCCCACATTGATTTTTCGAAGGACAAGAAAAAGGGAGAATATTTATTGGGCACTTTCTGCCACATAAAACTGGCCCAGGGCCAAGCAGCTTGACTTGAGTTAGTTCCTCGAACCCTCACCGCCACCTGATGTGGTAGGCGCTATTGTTTACAGACAGGAGACTAGCACAGAGAGGGCGGCCACTAGCCTAAGGCCCCACCCACAGCTAGTAGGAGAGACAAGATCTGAGCCTGGGCAGTCTAGTTTCAGGGAATCTCTTCTTAGCACCCACATCGCCTCCACGACCTGCCTCCTCATCACGTTCCCTTCCAGTCATTCTCTAGTCACTTACTGAGGACCTACGAAGTGCCAGGTCCTGTGCATGAAGGACATGACCCCTCTCTGTTTTCAAAGCCCAAAACCTGCTTGAAGACTTGCCAAGGAAGCACCAAGTCAGGACTCAGATGCTGTGCTCAGCCCTCCCCTCCATCCCCTCCTGCTTCCCGCCATCCCCCCCGCCATCCTCCCGCTCAGGACTCTGCTGAAAGTCCCTCCCATGTGCAACGAATGTCAAACTCCATCCACATCCAGGCTGTCAGTTTCTTAAAGAAAAAACACGCCATCTCTGGCCTCCTGCGGGGCACTGCCTTCAGGGTCCTTGCTAAATGTTTGCCGCTGCCGCCATCCCAAGCCCAGGGGAACAACGCCCAGCCACAAAGCACAAAGGAAGTCTGGTGGGTGCTCCCGTTCAGACCCTTCCATGGCCATGGGGGTCCGGCCTGCACAGTTTCCCCAGCTGAGTCAGGGGTGTGGTTCTCAGGCATAGTGGCCCCAGCCTTGGGGACTAGAGTGTGTGGTACTGGTCCTACCAAAAAGCCCCAACTCCCCTGGGGCAGCCTCACCCAGTACCCTCCCTCCCACAGCGTTTCCAATGCTCCTTCTGGTCTGCGGGGCCTGGATCCCGGGCCCAACCTCCCCACAAGCTGGTGAATCTCTTCGGGGGTCCTTCCCAGAGAGGCCCTGGTCAAAACCCCCATCATGCGTGGAGAGATGCCCACCGCACCACCCACAAAGCTGCTAGGGGTCACCCCTGTGATGTGTGCAGCCGTGTGGCTTTGGCTCAGGGACCCCTGGCCAATGCACAGCACGTTTTAGGAGAGACCCGAGGGCCACCTCGTCCGGCAGCATCTGAACATTGAACAGCAGAACTGTGCCACCCAGAACAGGCGGTGGCAAGAGAGGGTGCGTGTGAGCTCACAAGCCTGCCTCCTCCACGCGCCCTGAGCCCTCTCCCTCATCCTACTCCCCCGCCCCCGGGTGTCCAGGTCATCATGGGACAGAGTCTGTACAAACACAGCCCTACTCAAAACCGCTCCTCCCTACACTTCCCATCGGTGGTTCTCCAGCTGGCGCTTGAACTCTGCCAGCGACAGGGAGCTCACTCCATACACGGGGCACCTCCTTCACCTCTGCACGCCTCCTCTGCTAGGGAACATCCCCCAGGCTAAGCTGACAGCTACCCACCTTCCCCCTGCCAGTGACAGCCCTTAAACATGCGAAGGTGGCTGCTCGCCTCTCTGTGGTCCTGCCTCCTCGGGGCTGTGGTTTACAAACCGGTGTGAGCCAGGGAGCTCCCTCTCTGTTTTAAGAATGTCTGTCTTCCAAGCCCTGGAAACCATCCCACGCATGTGCCCTCTGCAGGGTGCGTCTGAGCTGCTGAGGTCCCAGCACAGAGAGGACGGCCGGGCCACCTGCAGGCTCTGCTGGCCGCTGGGGAGGGCCCAGTGGTTGCATGGGACTCGCACCCGGATCCCCTGCACGGTGCTGTGTGCAGGTGTATCTGGAGGGAAATGCATTCAGCGCTGCGCCGCTCGTCCCATTCATCCTCCACCCATTCATCCTTCTCTCATTTATCCTCCCCGCCTTGACGTGCAGCCAATGCCCCGATCCCCGCCGGACATGCGGTCACTCACCCGTCCCGTATCGCTTACATCCTGGGAATCTTTTCACACATTGACTCTGCGGCCAGTCAGTGCGTCAAGACCTACAAAGAAGAGAAACTCAATATTAAAGGCAGGGCAGGGCCACTGGGTGTCCCGTCTCTCTCCTGGCTGGACGGTGCCAGTGTGGGGGGTGGGGGGTGGGATGGAGACAGGGACAATAAAGGAAAAGGAAATGGTGAGGATGGAGCCGCTCGGTAAACCAACCTTAAAATCTCTTTGTGGCGACACTGAAAGGACAGAAAGACCTTCACCCGGTGAGCCAGCAGCTTCTGAGAAGCCGGCCTCTGGGAAGGGCCAAAAGCCCAGTAAGGGCTGCGTGGGAGGGATCTCTTGAACCTCATTTGGCGTCTCTTTTAGGACTTGGGTGTCTCATCCTCACAGCCCAGGGCCCTTTGGGGCTTTATTCTGATGAGGGTGAGGGGCCAAGCAAGCCCTGGGCACAGGCCTCAAGTCCAAAGATGCTGCAGGTCTTCAAACAAAAGGCCCACATGTGCAATTCTATCCTGGGAGGCCCTGCCGAGCGAACCCCGTGCGCTCTGAAACTTCCCCCGGAGAGCGGAGCCGGCGGAGCAAGGCGTGTGCCGCTGCTCACCCAGAGGTCCCCGCCTGGCAGGCTGAGGCCTGGGCCCCGGGGGTCCTGCAGGGGCAGAGGCTCAGGAGCAGGGGTGCCGGTGAGCGAGCAGGGCAGGTGAGCTGCGGGGGACCGGTCTTCTCACTCCCCACACCCAGCCTGCACCTAGAGCAAAACTTGTTTTTTCTTGTTGCCCTAAGAAGGCAGGGGGGAGCAGAGGTGTCTCCGGTCATCCATCCCTGTTCTCCAAGGAGAGCGCTTTGAGTTGGGGGCGGGGTGGGGGGTTGGGAATCACCTCAAAGGCAATAACTTCTATGGACCGAGTAGCTCACCACATGCTAAGTGCTCTGCCTCTGATCTATACCCAGTGCTCTTGCTGTGCGGGTCAGTTCGCATCACTCAGGAGCCAGAGGCAGGTTCTCAGGCCCTGCCCAGCCTGCGGAATCGGAACCCGCTTTTTCACAAGCTGCTCAGGTGCTTCCTGGGCCCATTAACATCTGGCAGAGAGGGCTCATTTGTTCTCTGAATCACGGAAGGAGGGAAGTCAGGCAGTGAGTCAGGAAGTCCACGCCGCTCCCCAGATGAGGAAAGGGGCTGAAAGAAGCCAGAATGTGGCCACTGTGGTTTTAGAGCTGGTAAGACCTAGAGCCCATTCAAACCCAAGTGCATCATGTGATTACTAAGCCAGTGTCACCTACAGGAATGCATATATCATTTTATAGTGGAAATGCAGAGGTGTGATGGGGCGTCACCTTCCCCTGATTTCCAGGTTGCCTCCCACCCTTGGGGGCTCCTGGACTGAGAAGGGGCAGGCTAGGCTGAGGGACCCCCCCACCCCAACCTCCAGTGCATGAATTTTCATGTGCCGGGCCTCTAGTAACTATATAATAATGTAAACTATATACAGTTATTAAATATTAAACATGTTAATAGTGTTAAATATTAAATACTATATTACATATTTGATTAACAATCATTTGAGTGCCCATATGTACCTGATTCTGTGCTAAGCACCAGACAGACATAAATTAACAAGACCCAGTCCCTACCGTTAGGAGTTCATGGCAGGAAAAAGGAGAAAGACAAGTAATAGACTGAGTATGAGACAGGACAATGTGTATGGAGGGGGTACAGGTGGAAGCAGCTAACAGAGGCCTCATCTGTCTCAGCACGAAGACCACACTCCTTACCCCGGGGCCTCTGACCCTGTGAGGTCAGGCCCCTGGTCGTCTCTCTCCAGCCTTGCCCTGCTGTATTCTGAGCTTACCACGTGCTAAGTTTCTTGATGCCACTGTGCAGCTATGCTGTCCTACTCCCTCTCTTCAATGCTCTGTCCTCCCTCTTCCCTTAATTAACCCTGATTTACCCTGTAGAACTGAGGGAGATAACATATGAAGTGCTTAGAAACATGTAAGCAGGAATGCTACTTACTATTATCTATACTAATAAAAGCCTAGGTGGTCTCACACCCTCGCGTGACGCCCTCATATCATCAAAAGATGGCCACCATGAGATGGGTACCCTCACATCATCACAAAAATGGCTGCCATAAGATGGCCGGAAGGAGAGGGCAGCTGTGGGCAATCAGGCCACCAGGGGAGGGCAGTTGGGGACAACCAGGCCAGCAGTAGAGTGCAATTGGGAGTGACCAGGCCAGCAAGGGAGGGTAGTTTGGGGCAACCGGGCCAGCAGGGGAGCAGTTAGGCATCAATGAAGCTGGCAGGAGAGCAGTTAGGGGACAATCAGGCTAACAGGCAGAAGCAGTTAGGGCCTAATCTGTGGTCTTGGGCCTAAACTGGCTGTTGGACATTCCCCAGAGTTCCCAAATTGGAGAGGGTGCAGGCTGGGCTGAGGGGCTCTTCCCCCATGCACAAATTTTGTACACCAGGCCACTAGTTATTGATAATACTTAACTATGCTCAATTGACTATGTGCTTCTTCTTGAGCACAGAGACGTAGAGTGACTTGGCCAGTGTGAACTAGTCTCAGAATTGTGGAATCCCACTGAGTTGATTCTCTTTCTCCATTTACCCTTGAACCCAGCACCATCAATTAGACTCTTGATCCTAACCAGCGTGGGGGAAAGGGTACTGGTCTCAGAGACGGGATGTCTGAGTCCTGTGAGTGTGGTCCTGGTTCTCTGGCACCTTCTGTGCCCTCACACGGACCACTTCTCTCCTTGGGGCCGGGTTTCCTCGTCAGCCAAGTGGGGTTCTGAACAGAACCTGCCTCCTTGGGCTGTGTGAGGGGCCAGGGTCATGGTGCCCAGCACAGTTCCGCACGTGGAAAACAGCAGCCCTCATGACGAGTGTTACCAATGAATCACAGGACACTTCAGTGCCCTTCCAGCTCTCAATGTGCACACATTTCCCATCCTCCTGGCTGGGTATATGGAGCAAAATCCCAGGATTCCCCCTACAGGCCCCCTTATTCCCTTTGAGCCCACATTAAGCTCATCAAATTTCTAGACAGTTCACTCCATTCCATGTTCATTCAGCAAGCATTTCTCAGTTGACTAAGAAACTCAGGGTTTGGTAAGCATGTATGACACTGTGTCCTGGGTGATGGCCTCACACTGACGAGAGAGCAATTGTGGAGTACGGGGAGGGCTCTAGGTCCAGACTGGACGAAAGAGGGGAAGGTGAAGTAAAAGAAGGTGAAAAGCTAAAAGCCACTCTGGGGAGCCATCATTCTGTAATTCAGAAGTGTAGTCTTACGCTGCCCGTCTTTGCTCCAGAAAATGTTTTACCTTAGTCACCCACAGCAGACAGAAAAACCCCACTAACATAAAAATTTTTTTTTTAAAATCACTAATGAATGACTAACACAATGGCCACCACTTCCTGAGTGCTCGCTCTGTGCCAGGCATTGAACAGAATCCCCCGGACTTCTCTTTCTTTCTCACATCAATTCTGAGGAGCAGGCATTCACATACCCATGCTCCACTTGGAGTGATCGAATAAACTGGCCAGTGCCAGAGGAGTAGAAGGTCCAGCACTAGGGTTAGAACTCTGGCCTGATCAAGTATAGCCTTTCCATTCTTCCCGGACACGGCTTCTGAGACCCTGGCTTCCGGCCTGGAGGGGCTGGAAAATGGGGCCATCTCTCCCACCAACCCCACCTACTCTTCCATTAAGACTCCCCAAGTGGCCAAAACCAGGTTCGATGCCAATCAAGGGTACATATATTGGTTGCGGGCACATCCCAGGTACAGGGTGTGCAGGAGGCAGCTGATCCATGTTTCTCTTTCATCGATGTTTCTAGCTCTCTATCCCTCTCCCTTCCTCTCTGTGAAAAATCAATAAAATATATTTAAAAAAAAAAAAAAAGACTCCCAAAAAAAGACGAGGAGGCTGAGTTTATACCCTCCCTATAGGGTGTGGGTGCAGCCTGACTTCTGGAATGAGAACACTCAATTCTACTCTAGAATTGATCTGAGTTTATTGCCAAACATTGCCCCCTCCGAACTGTCAAGTACAATCCACACTCTGGAAGATGTGCCCAGCCCCGGGCACAGCACAGGGCTGTTTCTTTTGCTCATTGCTGTCTCTTCGTCCTTCCAACGACTCTTAAAGGGGCACTGACGATGGGCCATGCGCTAAGGAGATAAGGTGAGCCCTGCCTTTCCACTTGGGTTGGAGACGAAAGACTTCAATGATATTATTGCGCTGAAGCTCCTGCAGTGGTGGCGAGGTTGCCAAGGACAGGCCCACGGGGGTACAGCAGATGGAGTGGGGTGGGGAGGACCTCAAAGAAGCAGTAGCGAAACAAGCAAAGCGGGGGAGATCTGAGAAAGCCAGAGAAAGGATGTGGGGGACTGCAATGGGCGGGGCCACGGTGGACACCCACAGTGGAAGGTGGCCAGAGAAAGAGCAAAGAGAGACTCGCAGGCCTCTCAGGAAGTTAGGGCTTTACCTGGGAGTGATGGCAAGCCACCAAATAGCTGGATTCCCGGGGTCTGTAGTTGCCAGCGGATGGTGGCCCTCAATGTGTTTGTTGAATGAATGGCCAAATCCATCCATTACCCGAGGCCCCCTTCATGTCTCCCAGCAATCTGAGAAGCCACGCCTGGGCCCCTGCCATCTTGACAAAGGGCAACCGCAGGGCAATCAGATTTGAATAGGGAAACACTCTCCCAGGGCACCTGGCCTGAGCCCCCATCAGGCCGCGGGAGCCCTGGCTCCAGCGTGGCTGCTGGCAGATGTGCGGGGATGAATGCACCTTTAATTACGGCTCATGTTTCGGAGGGAAAGACACAGCTCCCTGGAGATCGGGAATCTACGAAAACTAGCCCTTGCAAAAGAGACGTAAGTGAGCTGGAAACATAAGCCCTCTGGGCGGGCAGTGGTTTCTTTCTTTAAAATAAACAACAGCAAGGAGAGGGTCAACCTGGACGGGAATCAAGTTCTTCATAATCCCTCCCGGCAGGGCTCAAAGGCCAGTTGCAGAAGGAAACAGAAGAGACTGGTC